TCCTGTTCATCTCTCTGTTTCAGAGAAGAGTCCTCTGTTTATGGGGACTAATTTGACATCACAAGCACAATCATTTAGCTCTTATTTCATCTGTTCTTTGTGGTATTAGCCATGGCTTATGTATGATCTTTGATGTTCAGATTATGATGAGTTTGGTAGAGATGAGTTCAGCTTTGGTAATAGACAGACAGCCAATGGAGGTGCCGGCGAAGGGCCAGTGCTTTCCAAGCTTGGTTCTAGCTCCACGGCAGAGCTCCACCCCAAGGCTGATGCCCATGTTGAGACTAAGCCAACTTCTATGCCTCCTGCTAGTGTTATGACCCGTCTTATTCTGATTATGGTGTGGCGAAAACTCATCAGGAATCCCAACACCTATTCCAGCCTGATTGGCCTTACTTGGTCCCTTGTGTCATTCAAGTATGTAAAATCATTTGCCTTGTTATTCCTGAAACATTCTAATTAATCCTATGGTATTCCTTATTGATTGTCGTAACGTTGCAGGTACAAAATCAAGATGCCTGCTATAATTGCTGGTTCAATAGCCATTCTCTCCAATGCAGGTCTTGGAATGGCCATGTTTAGTCTTGGTATGTTGACTAATAACTCTCCGTATTTGTCCATAATAACTCAAATGCCTTAATTATTAGCAAAGGTAAGATTTGTGTGCAATGCAGGTTTGTTCATGGCACTTCAGCCAAAAATCATTGCGTGTGGAAACACAATTGCTACCGTCGCCATGGCTGTCCGGTTCCTCACAGGTCCAGCAGTCATGGCTGCTGCCTCGATTGCTGTTGGACTGAGAGGGGTTCTCTTGCACATTGCCATTGTTCAGGTACCACTACGACCTCAAAATTCGCCATATATTTTCCAGTTTTGTCTTCTCTAAGCACATTTGATTCACGCCTTCATTATCCTTGAATTTTCAGGCAGCTCTTCCACAAGGGATTGTCCCCTTTGTCTTTGCCAAAGAATACAATGTTCATCCAGATATACTCAGCACAGGGTACGTGACAGAACATTACCCAAATCAAATGTCTTGATTTTACTTTAGTATTAAAATCTTGAGATGAAATCTTGATTCTCTTCTGTAATTCAGGGTGATATTTGGAATGCTAATTGCACTTCCCATTACACTGGTTTACTACATCTTGCTGGGACTCAAGGGCTGAAAGAGGCTAACAGGGAAATAGAAGATTTAGATCCCACTTTGATGGGAGTTTTCCTGGGGGGTTTCTCTAACTGATTATATAGTTGTAGGACTGTGGAGAGATTACTGCAAATTCTCTTCACAAAGATTGGAGAATTTACAAATGGGGGAGCTAGAATATCTGTTGTCTTTTGCTAATTTTGTTCTTTTGATGAAGAAAGTGAAGCTCCAATCTCCAAGATTGTCTTTGTTTGTACTTGGCTAATTTCCTAATCAAAAGATGGTCTTTTTCTTTTCCATCACTTTTTCTCTTTTTAAGGTAAAAAAGGAGAAGATTTTAACCAAGTTGGAATCTCAATGTAGAACTGCTTTTTCTCTTGGATAAATTGTTGCATTGGATGTTGAAAGAACCGCTGGCATTGAAAAAAGTGGGGTTTGTCTGTGTAGAAGAAACATGTGAAGGTTGGAACCTGGAAAGATGGCAGTTGTTGGTGCAGTAGGTTTACAGAATGCTTGTGAAGGGTGCCTAAAATTTAAAGTTGTGTCAGGTTGTTGGAAGCTCCATGTATTAACACCTGTGTTTGTCTATTGGACTCCTCAATTTTCATAAAGAATGCTCCTCTTGGCTTGTGTTCTTTAGTCTTTGTTTTTGGTGCAAGTTTTGGACTTTTGGACACCTAATCAGGTATGGTAACCAACCGGCCTTTTGATTTTTTTTTTGAACGCACCGGCCTTTTGATTTTTTAATGTATTGTTTCTGGAGTCAACTTCTTTAGGGGTGTTGGGTTGGGAATAAATTTT